TGTTATTACTTTGAGGGTTGAGCATGTAGTTTTGTTTGTCGTTGTGTTTTTTCCTAAACTCTCCACTAAAAAATGGTAGAGAGAGAGAGAGTCTACTATATAATGTCTAAAATAATTCATAAATCCTAGAAAGCGTTGTAACTCTTGTTTAGTCTTTGGTGTTACAAATTTGTCTACATTATCTATTTTTAACACATTTTTTTCTATGTTTCCGTGTAATACTTTACAATTAAGTATGATTGTCTCTTGCACAAGAAATTCACATTTTGACAGTTTAATTTTCAGGGCCACTTTTTTTAAGCGTTCTAACACCCTTGTTAGTTTTTCTTGTACTTCATCTTTATCTTTTAATAGTATTACCATGTTATCTATATATATTAGTACATATTCTAAGTCTTCTAAAATTTTGTTCATTGCTCTTATTAAGTATGCTAGTGCTGTTTGTATTCCAAATGGCATTCTTTTCCAACAGTATGTTTCATATTCAGCAAATTGCGTTGCAGTATATTTTCTTGATGGTTTTGCTACTAGTATTTACCAGTAGGCTGATTTAATATTTATTGCTATATAATACTTATATCTAGCTACTCTTTGTAATATTTGTTTAGTATCCGGTAGTGGTTCTCTAAGAGGTAGGAGAAAACTATTTAGTTTTCTATAGTCAATTGCAATCTTTTTTGTTCTATCTTTCTTTTCTATTACTACATAGAGACTTTGCCAATCTGTGTTTCCACTATATATTATTCTATTTTTTAGTAAGTCATCTCTCATTTTTCGTATCACAACCAAGTCTTCTTCTAAGTATTTTCTTCCTCCTTGCATTTTGTCTTTTAAGGATATTTTCCTTTCATCAATTTCTGGTTTAAATATAAATTCTACTGGTTCAATCACATTCAGGTTTACAAATGTATAAAATTCTTCTTTTTCTCAGAATACGTTGACATATTTGGTTATAATATGTCCAATTAACTTCCATACTTCTGGTTCTCCAGTTTCAAAACAGCAGTCTTGAAGGATTTTAATTCTTTTCTTATTACTTTCGACGGGTTTGTCGAAAGTTGGTAATTTTCAAAGAAAATTTTGGTTAATTTTTGGTTTAAAATTTTTTCTACTTTTTCATGTCAAAATTTTTAATTTTGACTTTTTCTTTATTTGCAATATGTTGTTCTTTTTCAATTTTAAATTTTTAATTAGAAAAATTCATTATTATTATGTATTTTCTATTTGCTATTCCAGGCTGCACAATTACTGCTTTTTTGGCTTCTCTCGCTATAGTATCTATATAAAGATCATCTTTTATCAGTTTTCGGATCTTTATATGCCCTATAGTTATTGGTGATATATGTGTTTTTTTCATTGGCTAATATTTGATATTTAGCATTTTTTCCTTCTCATATAGTTGGTAATATAATATATCTAATATGGATTAGATATTGTTCTCTGATTTCTTTATAGAAATTAATATTTGGTTAGTGTGGAGTTGTATAATATTGTCCAGTTGTTAGGTCCATATCTGTCATATCAGATATGTTTTCTGGTATTCCAAATCCTTCTTGTTGTTCTGGTTCTAAACTTTTTTTGAGTAGCAGCATCTGCCATATCATTAAGTTGTGCTTCATTTTTCGCATTTTCTTTCTATACAAGTACTGGTTCAGTGTATTTATATACTTGTCTCCACTCATCATCTGTTAATGATGAGTGTCCTGTTAGTACTAGGTATAGAACTTTTTGACCTTTCCATTCAGATTCTATAGTTCTAGTCCATTTGTTTTTTTTTGGTTCATATCGAAGAGATGATCCTTCTGCTTCATATTCGTTATTTGAATCATATAATTCTCCTTGTTGATTATTATAGTTATTCTAACTGTAATCATTATAGTCGTTTGTATCTTCTTAAATATATTTATCTAATTCAGCCATTTGTTGTGCATCTTCTTGTGTTAGTTGTTCTTGTTTTGTCTGTCTGAATAGTTCTTGTCTTTGTTGATTTTTTCTTTTGAATTGTTCTAATCGTAGATTTCTTACTGAGGATAATTGATTTGATAGTTGCGACCTTTGTCTTTTGTGGCCATATTTTGGTAATACTGGTTGGTCATCATTGCTTATTAGTGCATAAAGACTACTTGATTCTGATATTATATCAGTTGGTCGTACTTCTTTTATTAGTGGTGATGATTTATGTTAATGTTGTTTAGAGTGGGATGATTGTGTCGATTGCATTGAATTTTTTCTACTTAACATCTGTTGTGCTGCACTTAATGTGCCCTGAACCATTCCTTTTGCTTTATTAAAAAAGGTTGGTGATGTTGGTGAGCTTGGTCTTGTTATTGTTCTTGATATTGTTTGTTCCAGTATTTTGGTATACTGATCTTTATCTTGTTTATTTAACCATTCTAATGTTCTTCCGAAGTTGTCGTCTAGTAGCTATCTATCTGCCATTTGTTCTGTTTCTCGCAGTTCATTTACTGTTGGTAAATATTCTTCGTGATATGGATGTTTCGGTGATAATGTTTCTGGTAATTCTAAGCCTTGTCTTCTGGCTCGTTGTTGTTCTTGGAACATTCGTTCTTCTTCGTCTTCTACGTCATGCATTTTATCTAGGTTTTCTAAAGATACTCCTAATAGTTTTCTATATTTTGCTTGATATTGTTTTCGTAATAGTTTACTTTCACATTGTTCCATTTGTCTAGCGAATCTTTCTATTAAGATTCATTGTTCATACTCTTGCATTGCCTCAAAATCTTTTCTGTCTAAGTTTAGTGCTTGATTAGTTATATACCCATATTCTTTTTCTAGATCTTTTACTAGATTTCTATTCTTCTAAAGAATAGCATCTTTTGTTTCTGTTAATGCGAATATTGTTTTGTATAGGTAAGCTTTTTTGTCTTTAGCTGTTTCTGCTTCTAATATTTTTCTATTTGTGACCCTTTCAATTTTCTGAATATGTTCATTAGTTTGTTGTCTTGATAATTGGGAAACATACTTATAGTTTGTTTCCATACTGTTTAATCGTTGTTTTAGTTGTCTTAATCCAGTTCTAATTCTTGGATCTTCTTGTTCCTTTTCTAGTTGTAGGATTCGATCTAATTGTGACAATTGTGTTTTAATAAATGTTCTCATTTTTGGTGTTTTGACTTTGTTTCCTTCTTGTTGATTAAAGGTGATGTTTAAGCTTTTAGCTTTTCCTTTCTTGTCTTTTTTAGTATTGTCTTTCTTATTATTTGTTCTCTAAATTGATTTATTTTTCTTTAAGCAGCTTCTAGATAGAGTTAATTCAGTTTCTTTTCTTGTTTATTTCGCGGTACTTTATGTTTCGCTGCAACTGTCATTTATTGTACTTGTTCTGCGAGTAATGTTACTTCTGGGTCATCAAATTCCATTTTCAATGGAATTGTTATTTCTGATGATGTTCCTCCCATATATTGGTTTTTATATTCTTTTAATTCTTGGTCTTTTCCTTTAAACCATTCTTCTTGGAAAGTTTCTTCTTGAAGTATATCTCTTGTCCATTCTCTTAGTTTAGAGATTTCATGTATTTGTGCTATTTGATTAGCTATTTCATTTGACAGTGTCTCTACTACTGCAGCATAGAGCTCTTTATGCTGTATAATCATTTGGTATACTTCTTGTTGTATACTTGCTTGTGGATCCAATAAGTGCTCATGTTTGTCCATTCCTCTGCCAAATATCACTTCCGGCGGGCTATTGTTTATGTGTACTAACATGATTTCCTGTTTGTACATTCTTAGTATATTTCGATATTCATCGATTCTCTTGCCTTGATACCAGTACTGCATATCGAAGCATATGCCTATTTGCTTTTTTAGTCTTGCTTTATCTTTATATCTTAACTCTTAACTTGTACTATTCACTATATCCATGAGGTCTGAAATGGTTGCACCAAAGCAATTGTTGCTAGCTGAGTTTTCCAATAGTAATCTAATATCCTATTAGTTCTTGTTAATTACGCGTAATATCTCATTAATATTCTTAATCACATCTGATCATTTCTTATCACCAGCTAAGGTACCTATATGTATTATAGCCCATCTAATACTCATTTCTTGCACTCTCGCAAGATCTTGTAATATTCTATTTATTTTCCAATTTCTCTTACCACTGCAGTCTGGGAATATACCAAATTAGGAAATCGCATTCTAGAATGATCTACGAATAGATTCTTGATTTTGATTGG